CTCGACAGTGCAGAGTTAAAAAGTTTATCTATCATTAATGTTATTTTATTTTGATCTTATAATTAATGTTCTCTTTAATTTCATTGTTTGTGGTGGGCCATGCGAAATTGACATAAACCAAAAGTAAACAGCTTGGCAGAGTTGATTTACAAGCTAAAAGTAAACATAACTCTCTTTAATTTCATTGTTTGTGGTGGGCCATGCGAAATTGACATAAACCAAAAGGCTAAAGCCAACTTGGAGGCTACTAGGATGAGCTCAAAATTTGTCTCATTAGCACACCTGCTTCTGGTGGAGCAAAGACGACAGCTTGGCAGAGTTGATTTACAAGCTAAAAGTAAACATAAATAGTGTGCTAGGGCAATTTAAATTTGTTTCTTTACACCCTATTTTCCGATGGTAAGGAAAAAACTCACTCAAGTAAAATTTTGATGTTTGTTCTAGGTGTAGTTAAGTTATTTCCGCTTGGTTGGAGAAGGTATTGAGTTCAACTCACATTCACGCATGGATGTGAGTTGGATACTTATTAGCCTGAGCTTAGTTTCTCTATTTGTGACTGACTTCATTATTGTGGCCGTGTGAGTATCTAGTTGTAAATGGTATTCCTTCACAAATATCTTATCGTTTGTTGAAAACGAAAATGCGTTTTGACGTTTGACATGTCCGGAAAGTAGAAAAAAACCTTCAATTTTGAGCCACAAAGGTTCTCAAATTGATCTACATGACATTGTTGTACGGCACTGGCCAGGGTTATAATATCATTATGTACGAATTTAAATGAACAATTAGCTGTCAATGGCCCCCCATTCTCCTCAGATTTGCCGCTAATGTCGATATCAGGACCTCTTTTTATGGGTGTCAATTTGTTCAAGTTGTTTTCCATTTGCTCATGTTCTTGTCTTCTTCTTCTTCTTCAGCAAAGTCGTATATCAGTCTATGGAATGGTAGTTGTTGCCTGCTTGCTAACATCAGAACAGATCTTACACAGTATATCTACATCAATTGTACCACTCAATTTGGCAGTCAGGTTTCTTTGTTCTCCATTACGGTTCTTTCATTAAGTTTTATATATACTTGGAAGAAGTCAAGAAGATAGAAGGAAGTAAGAGATTCTGTATATGTTTTACCTGCTCCATGTGATTCTTAACAGCAAATCTTTTTTAAATCAAGGGCCATAAATAAATCAAGATGACTTTCATATTTAACATCATCACCATACATGACAAAGACATATGATTTATTAATTTTGCACTTTCTTTCTTCACACTCCGACCACATATTTAAATGGGAAATACTGAACTTTGTGATATTTTTTCGAAGACGACAATAAAAAATTTAAGGAACGTGTAGTTTGGCTCTTAGAGTATCTCCAAGGGAGATGTCAAATATCAAATATCAAATTTAATTTTGATGGTTGATGTAGCAATTTGACATCTTACACAGTTTTACACTCCATCTGATATGTCAAATTAAATTATTATTTTATTACATTTTAGTGTTGATTTATTTTTAATTAAAAAGAAAAGAAAAGAAAAAATAATAAAATATTCATTTGACATCTTGCTTTTGGGATGTCAAAAATAACATCTCAACCTCCAGCCTTCATTTCACATCAGTTTTGACATATCGGTTGGAGTAATGTGAGATGTCATTTCTAGCTGTTAAATGTCTATGTGACACGTCTGACACATCGGTTGGAGATGCTCTTCTAACGTTGGGCAGAAAAATTTGGTTATAAAAGTCTTACGTGTTAGGAATATGCGTGAGATGTCATTTCTAGCTGTTAAATGTCTATGTGACACGGGTTGGAGATGCTCTTCTAACGTTGGACAGAAAAATTTGGTTATAAAAGTCTTACGTGTTAGGAATATGTAGCACTTAACACGTTTCGATTTAATAAAAGTACTTGTATAAAATCACTTACAAGGAGAAACGCTTACATAAAGCCTCAAAACAACTTCTTAGATAAGATTAGTTACAAAGCCAATTGTTCACGCGTATGTAGGGGCGGAACTACTCACAATCATTGAGCGGCCTTGACCTCTACTCAATATCCTTTCACTTTAACCCTTTGAATATGTATTCGGCATAACCATGGATTTGAGAAGAAATCCCTGTAACTTGGTGCCCAAACATAAAAATCTAATGAACTACCGGAAAGATTCATACTGTTTATTTACATCATGTCTTTCCGGTGTGCTTGATAGGGTCGTGAGCCATGCATTGACCAAATGATGAATATGACGATGCGACCTTCATTAAAAACACATGAAACCAAACCGATGAAGACTGACTGGATATTTACCATTGATAACAAATTAATTAATCTAACCATGTGATTAAATAGCATTTGCAGCTATTAAAACTATATGCATGTTAACATCAAACCATTTACTTGCCCCGTCTACTTGGACTGACCAAATCCTTTTCCTTTTCATTAGCATTTGCAGCTATTAAAACTATATGCATGTTAACATCAAACCATTTATTTGCCCCGTCTACTTGGACTGACCAAATCCTTTTCCTTTTCAGGATTTAATTTCTTCTGGTTCACACAATACTTTTCGTATACTCCATGCCAATTCTTGCAATAGCATTTCCTAACCAACCATGATTAATTCAATTCGTGTTATTGATACAAATTAAGAATTAGGGTTTCGTGCTAGCTAACCTAATATTTCTGTACTGCATATGTCATGGTATTGGCAGACAGTTTCCCCATTGAAAACCACTAGAAGTAGCTAAGTTCTGGTAGGTGGCCTGTTGCGGTCTTCCCCTTGTGCATTCAAACAATTCTTCTTTGGTCTCGAATTTAAATAGCTCTCTCTTATGCTTAGCTGACTAGTTCCTACCCAAGTGGGAGAGACCATTGGGTCCAATTCTAGATATTAAACCCAAGTGGGAGCTATCTCCCAGGCATATGATTGTAAACTTGAATATGCTCATTTCAACTCACAAGCCATTGAGAGATCCTTTACCAATTTTTTAATGTTGTTGCCTCCCAGGCATATGATTGTAAACTTGAATATGCTCATTTCAACTCGCAAGCCATTGAGAGATCCTTTACCAATTTTTTAATGTTGTTGTCAAATATTTGATATGCTATTTTACTGCTCTGTGAATCCTACAAGATACTCAAATATATGCTAATCTATAATTAGTTTTACAGACAATCTTATAGGGAGATTCTATGTTCGATTTACCCTTTTCAAATATCGCTTATTTAAAAAATTCAAAATTATTAACGACAACATGTTATTCCAGATTATCTTACAAATTAAATTTACACCAAAGCGATATGTTATGTTTTGATTATTGGCAAAAGATAACTGAGATGATTTCTTTCAACCAAATAAAAAGATAATCGAGAGGATTTATGTGCTTTGATCCAAACATTTGTCAACGTTTATGATTAAACAAAGCTTGCAATAGATTGCAATGCCAACTATGCCAAGATACCAACTGACAACGGTGCCAAAGATACCAAACTAATTGTACAATATGAGTCTTATCATATAATATGTAAAGAGAATTGGCCTACTCTCCTCCACCATGGCCGAGGCTGGCCTTCTGATCCCTTATCCATTCTTGAGAGAAACCCTAACCATGAAAACAATGGGACACATTGCAAAACGGCTAAATATTAGCATGCCACCTCCTCAAAGCTGACTCAGAACCACGTTGAGGGTCAATGTGTTGCTAATTGTAGGTATCTCCATTGGTCCACATATATTTCCTTCTTTACTTTATCGTTTGGATCAATTGTCCACGTATTTGACCTCAACCACTCATTTAATTTAATACAAATTTATAAATAAACCCAATCCTAGACATGTATTTATAAAAAAACTCAAGCACTATTTAAACATAGAAACACACCCAAAATTAACCCCAAAGTCAACTTTTTGGGTGTGTTTATAAATGGGTTTTGAGTGTGTGTAATGATGGGTTTTGGGTGTGTTTATATGTTTAAATAGTGCTTTGGTTTTTTTATAATTTCAACCCCCATTTTGGGTGTTTTAGTGAAACTCCCTTAATTTAAATGGCGATTAATATAAGGGACGAGGACTTCTTTTTTCCCTTGTTAAATATTTGTGATTATGGATAATGGGATTCTAGTGCTCCCAATTTGGTATTATTGAATTTCCAATATAAAAATTAATGGCTACCCTTGTATTATTGTTTTTGTCGAAAAATATTCAAGAGCTTTTGTGTTTGAAGGAGAAAAGCATTTAGAAAATGTATAGTTAAACAATCTCACGAGGGTTTGGAGATAGAGTTGATTCGCTAATTTACAATATTATAGGTCTTTCCTAGGAAAATTGTGATGCGATTGTTGAGGTGAATAGTTCTATCCGGAGCTCCCCGTCATTGACCGTTGATAATCATAACGTGTACATGAATGAGTGTCGAGAATTTCCATTCTTTATTACACAAGAATTTTATAAAAATAAAATGTTCGAGTTTTGTTTTGCGCTCGTTAATCTTTTCCAAACGACGATGTCAAACTATCTATTTTACTTTTTAACTTTTTATGTTCGTTCCATTTTCTTAACATCGATAACTATTAATTCATTTCTTTTAAGAAAAAAGATGGAACCATTGTGAACTTAAAATCATCAAGTACATTCATTCGCACCGATATGAGCCGCTCATCAATGATTCGAATTTTTCTTACCAAAATTTAACAATTTAATAGTAATCAAACAGATAAACAGTTGGCATAAAATAAAATAAAAACAGATAAACCGAATTGATCGGGATAATAATCTAATAGTTATTTAACCGATGTCACCAATAGAAAAAAATTCGTCTAATCTTGTTTTACCTTATAATCAGATACGATTTACTTTTTAACCAACAATCTTATCGTCCAATCTATCAGAAACCTTTTAAAAAGAAAAAGAAGAGTCAGAAACCAATCCAAAATGTTTTAATACCAGAAACGGTTTACTGTGTGAACCAGCCGTCCACAGCTATCCGCTGTTTCTAATTAAAAAATCAAAATGGCGACAATAAAATAGTCTCTCTTCATGCTCTATATTTCCTCCACATAAGATAGCGCTGTCGTCCCCTCCTTTTCTCGGGAAACAAACAACCAAAACAATCTCTCGCGGGTTGGGCTCTACGCGTCCTTCTACGAAAGTTCAATACTTTAGTGCATACATCGAGTTCGAGATTTCACGTCATCTCCTACCAAACCCATCTCTCTATTTCTTCACAAAGCTTAATTCTTCACAACCTTCTGAGCTTCTCTTTCTGTCTCTGCCTCTCTGATTGCTCTGTTTGGATATGGGTGCTAGTTTCTCTGCTTGCAAGTCAGACCCAGTTGGGGCTTTGCCTTTGCAATCGAAACCCAGTCTTGGCGATTTGCCGGAGAGCTGCGCGGCGCTGATTCTGGGTTATTTGGACCCACCGGAGATTTGCAAATTGGCGAAGCTCAATCGGGCTTTTCGTGGAGCTTCTTGGGCTGACTTCATTTGGGAATCGAAATTGCCTTCCAATTATCAAACTATCGTTAGAAAAGTGTTCGGTGATGGTTTGGAAAATTTGGGTAAGAGAGATGTTTATACGAGGCTTTGTCAGCCTAATTCTTTCGATGATGGTACCAAGGTGGGTTATCTTTCGATTTTCTTTTTTCCTTTTTGTTTTGTTTCTTTTTTTTTTCCTGTTTGGGTATCGAGAAAGCGTGGGAAAATGATAGAAATTGGAGGCTTTAACTTGAATTGTCTCAGCGAGGAAATCGTATTGAAATCTTATTGAAAGAAGAAAACTTTATAATGAAAGTTCAGATATTTTCATGTTTCGGGACTATTATTTGACTTTGTAAGCTTTACTATCTTTATCTTATTGTTTCTATGTATTATTTCCTTGCTTTGGATTTGGTGTGCGGTGTTATAAATTTTTTGTGTTGGTGCAGACAGTTTGGCTGGATAAAAGTACAGGATCTGTTTGCTTGTCGATTTCTTCAAAGGGATTAGCAATCACTGGCATTGATGATCGAAGATATTGGAATCATATTCAAACTCAAGAATCTAGGTGAGAATTACTGATCTTCTTTTTCCTTTCTCATTGAAATTCCAGTGAAATGGGAAATTTTGTATGTTATAGATTGCTGATGAACGTCCAAGTATTACATCGAGTTTCCTTGCTGGAATTTATTTAGGTTATCCCTTTTGTGAAGTTTTAATGATATTTCGATTTTAATGCATGATGCTGAGCTATGGAAGTTTGTGGTTGTGATCGTTTGTGGTATGTTAATGACTTTTAAATTTTTGTGGTCAAGCGTGCCAAATTTTTATAACCTTAGGCAACTTCGTATTTTGGGGGGTAACCACCCTTTTTTGATCAATCGAATGATCGGTGGTAAGGGTTTGGATCAACATAATATCTGCATGTTCGGGTACTTGCTTTCTGTTCTTGGAAGGGGAGGAGGGAGGAGGGAGGAGGAAGGAGTTTATTAACATATATGTTCGTTTTGTCCACCGAAACTAATGAAAATGGGTTATAACAAATCTTTAGAGCAACCTAACATATAGATAATATGATTCTTAATTCTTATCATTAACAGGACATGAGAATGCAAAATTTTCTTGGTACATAGTTACTGCTTTACTGGAGTTTGAGCTTATTAAAACTGCCACTAAAGCTTGTCAGAAGTTATGAAGCATCTGATATTAAGAAAAGGTTCAGTTTCAGCTAATTTAAATTGCCAGTAAACTTTTCAAAAATTAAAAGCTTCTCATATTAGGAAAAATCTAGATTTATTCAACCTGTTTTGAGCTTATTTTGAATGCTAACAGACCTTTTTATGAATCTGTTTGTACTGTGGCATTGCTGGTTGGCTTTCTCTTCAAGTTGACTTCATCCTACATAGTTTGTCTAAAAGCATTTACAGAATGAATCCCAAAGGATATACAATTCAAGATTGATGTGTATTTTTGTTTTAATTTTATTCTGGTGCTCATTTGGGCCTCATGACTAATACAATGCATCTTAATGTGATCATGTGAAATAAACCGAAAGGTTGTGGATTGCTTACTTCTGTTGTGGCTATGATGTCCCAAGCCCCCTGGTTCTTGGGTTTTTGGAATTGCATACCCTCCTGGTTCTGATTTTCTGATTGAGGTTGCCTCACTGGAATAAGATGCTTTACCCATTTACCTTTGCACTAAAAGTATTCGGGGAACTAAGTTGGAGTTTTCTTTTCTTGAACACAGATTTTGCAGCGTTGCATATCTTCAGCAAATATGGTGGTTAGAAGTCGATGGGGAGGTTGAGTTCCCGTTTCCAGCAGGGACATACAGCCTATTCTTTAGGCTGCAGCTGGGACGGTCTTCGCAGAAGAGGTTTGGTCGCCGAATTTGCAATACCGAGCATGTCCATGGTTGGGACGTAAAACCAGTGAGGTTTCAGCTATGGACTTCAGAAGGTCACTATGCCTCGTCCCAATGCTTTTTAACTGAACCTGGAAAATGGAACTACTACCATGTTGGGGATTTTGTTGTGGAGAACCCCAATGCATCAACAAAGATTAAACTCTCTATGACCCAGATTGATTGCACCCACACCAAAGGTGGTCTCTGTTTAGACTCTGTACTTGTATACCCTAGTGAATTTCGAGAAAGGCTAAAGCATTTTTAATTTGCGCTTTACCTTTTCAGTTAGGTAGTTCTGTATTATAGAGTTAGGCCATCTTCAGCAGAAAGCCAATTTAGAGATAGTGAATGTCTCCATGGGGTCATATGTGTGTAAGCAAAGAAATGTGTAAATTCATTCTCTCTTTGTTTGATTCGTTTAATTAGTGACAGTGGATTAAGATTTTGTATGTCTGTCTGTCTCCATAGTCAAAGGGGCTTCTGCATTGTATGGGATTTTGAGAAATTAATGATGGAAATATTTACAGTTGAACTTTCTTATTGCTCTGTCGTTTAATTAGTGATAGTATTGAGATTTTGTATCTGTTTCCATTGCCAAGGTCTTATGTCTAGAATAGAATTTGATTTTGAGAAATGATCACAACCACATATATTTACAGTCAAGGGGAAAACCATTGTTTGGCTTAAACTACTGCAGAATTATCAACTAGTGTTTTATCATATTTTACTTTCTCAGAACAGTTGTTGCAACTCATTCCCCATTCCAGTCCATTCTTGCTTTGCGAAAACGAAATATGAACTAAAAAAGGGTTTTGATTGCAACATCTGAACCAGCTCAGGCTGTAAATACCAATACTATAAAGATCACAGCATGTAGCTTGATACATATTACAAGAGCTTGGGTTGTGAAAGAGCCCTTACATATGTTTGAAACTGATCATAAACTAATACTCAAAATGACATTAGAAGTGTGTCAGTATCCATATCTGGTAATATTAGCGAAAAGATAAAATCTGCATCTGGAGACCTGTAGTCTTGTACAAACTCTGCATTAGGCACTTAACCATCATACCTCAGAATCTCACAATAAAACCAACCCAAGAAGAACTATTCAGACCTTCCAACCATAACCCACGTCATTGCCATTGCCATAAATTGTATTATGATCATGATAGCCGTGAGAAATATTAAGTATTGATTCCGGTAAATAAAGCTTTCCTGACAAATTTGGTTCTCCATTGATGAAGCAATTATTGGAATGGACTTCGGACGAGTTCCCATTGAAGGCTGCCTTCGAGCTGCTGGTCCTTCCTGCAATGCTATCGAACACATTTCCTCGGGTAGCTGCGGCTGTTGGGCAGGCCCAAACTCCTGAAGGCAACTCTATAACTGAACCTTTACCACTCCCCCAGATGGGTTCTTCCCTATCATGCTTATTTGCTGATCGGCTATTGTTGTTGATCATTTCCTGTACTAGTTTTTGAATGGCGTACTGCTTCATAGACAAATCTAAACTTGACAAGCCATTTTCCACTGAGCTTTTAATCAGTCCTGAATTTGAGGTTCTAGGACCCTGAAATGGTTCAGAAGAGGTGTCCTGGATGTGCGGCTCCTGGCTAGCTCCGCTCACAATGGAGGTCAAGTTGCTTTGTCCCATCAATTTGTGGTGAGAACCACGCAGCAATGATGCTGCCCGTTCTGCGCTAGTTGAAAGTCCTTTGTGATTCATAGGTGAGCTTTCATTTGTATTACTTCTAAAACCACAAGAGGCAGCCATCAACTTATTGTTGTCTTTTGGAGGATCTCGTGCACTCTCTAGCTGCTCCTTTCCTTTTATTTCCTGTTTCTGGAGCTTGGTCGTGGCAGCTCCTCTGCAATAACTTTCCAGGCTCTCTACAAGTAAACTTGTAAGCAATTACCTCAACTAGGGATGAAATACGATGATAATAGGAACTCAAGCAACAGTTTAAACTTTTTTATAGAAAAAAAACTATTTTAACTTCCATCTGAGGGGAAATAAGGAACATGAGTTTCTCTCCTTCCTACCAACAAAAAGAAAATCTTCCTTGCCATTATGAAAAACAAAGTCAAGCATCACAGCACCATCTGAAAAAATTTATCTCCAAAAAACTGAAAAACAATCAACCCTTTACTCAGAGAGTTGTGTGCTTGACAAACAAGCACGGTGATCATGCATAAGGAGGTGCAAAGAGGCATCTTAGGGGCTACTCAACAACATATGTAAAAGAATATAAATTATTGAAGCCCAAAAAAAAAAAGCAGTTGTTCCATCGTTCCTCAGAGCTGCATAGCCACCATGGAGGTGGAAAACCATTGAATTGCTAAACTGAAAACTAAATACACGGTGGAAGCCATTAACAGAAACACATGACTTGCTACTTACCAATTGGGCCAGTAACATTATCCTGGCATAAAATCATTAAATCTTTCATAGTGTAGACAATCTCAGCTATCTGTTAAGAATGCAAAAGAAACTGTTAAAAAATTGGACATTAGTTTCAAACTAAAGCAAAATGAATGTTCAATACCTGCAAGCACCGAGTGTATCTCTTGGAAAATCCCAAATCATCAACCAGCTGTTGATCCACAGTCTTTGCAAGTTGTCCTCCGGCTGCTAGGATACTACAGTAATTTAAATGATAAAGAACTACATTATCATTACCTATCATGACAGCATTCTGGCTGGAAGAAAAAAAGGCCCAAAAATAGTTACACACTACCCTAAAAGATGAGGTTTCTAGAATAACATGAGAAGCAAAATTATTATCTCAAGTACTTTTCATCACTATACAATAATAGGTAACTGGTCTTCAATATAACTAGAAAAGGAGAACCATCCATTCTTACGTATTGCAATTTGCTTGCACATCTTGGAACAAAACCCCATCAGATCCTCTGTCATCAATAGAGCACTTGTAATCCTGTACGGCATGAACCAGCTGAACAACCTAGAATACGACATAATTGAAGAACAAAAGTTACAAGAAAGTAGATCCTGGAAGGAATCATAAGATGACTGAACCCTACTTTGAGCAATGACCAAATTGGACTCTTTTACAAGCTTACAAAAATACACAAAACAAGAAAGATTCATACCTGCGGTGCAACTGCAGTTCGACGGAAGAAAACTTCATGAGAGCATACACAAAATTCCCAGGACAATATCTGAAAAATCATTGGGGATAAAAATAAGGAAAAGTAATATGAAGAGGAGTTAGTAAACAAGACAAATAAAGAGTTAGAAACAGTATGCAATTAACCCACCAACTTATACAAAGTGCACTCACCTTCAAATCATGAGAGAATACTATACGAAGTTGACCTTCATGAACAACGTGAAGTTGCTGGTAGACACTCTCTTGAACTGCTCTTCCATATTCCAACATCATTACTCCAGAAGGAAATCTAATCTCATGAGGCAAATCGAGGAACAAGAGTTCATCGATCACACCACTCCCAAATGTGATTTCATTTAGCCTTGGAAGCACTTCAAAATATGCCTCTATCAAGTGGTAAAGGACCAACAGAAGTTGAGGGTTATAAAAAAATAATAATAATAAAGCCAGATATTCAGAGAAAATAGATTCAGTAAAGTGCAAACTTTTTTTTACCAAATCCCCTTCTTGATTTACAACCACATATGTTACACTGCCATGGTACCTGACAAGACAACAGCAGCAAAACTACCAATTTTCAGTTCGTAGAAAAGATAAGAAGAAGAAGAAGAAGAAGAAGAAGAAGAAGAATCAGGCGCATTCATCAAGACATGCATGCTAAGAGATATTACAAGTGGGGAACTACATTTGTGCATCTAGTAGATGTTACAAAATCAACAAATGGAGCCACAGAATGAAAACCGACCATCGTTAGATGGGGCAAAATACCAAGGGCATCGCGCCCAACTTCATCATACAAGGACAGACACCACCTTTTCTTAGCACTTGGGGCATAATACTCTGCCACAAATTTCCTCCAATAGGACAAGTTATTGTCCTAAAAGAGGGGTAAAAGAGAGTAAGATTATGTTCAAGTTATATAAGTTGAAAAACAAAGATGAAGCAGTCATGACAAACATGAAAGGAACTGCAAAATGGTTATAATTCATGAATAAATATCAACGGTATATTATTAATTAAGCTAACTACTAACAGCTGGCCGGTTTCGGAGATGATATATGTACTGCATTAGCCGGCGTGAACAAACACCTTCATCAGGGTGCTGCATAACAGATGCTTGATGCACCACCTCCTGTTGTGTTACTACATGCCTCATCGGTTGCTGCTGCTTTTCTTTGTCAACACCCTTCAACTGCAGAGAAGGATGTAAAATCTTTGGCTGTTCTTGATTCTGTGACATATTATAATGAAACAATTCCTGTATTTGCAATTTATTTCTTTGCAATTCCTCAGAGTCCTGACTCTGCAGTAGCTGCTGAATAGCATGCTTGTTAAGACTAGCCTCTTTCTTGACGTCTATTCTAGGTTTCTTATGCCTCTGACTTGAGGTAAGAGGTTCCTGTTCTCCACCATTAAGAAGTGGATGGTGGTTCTTCAATGCTGGCTGAGGTGCAGCCCCGAAATGCCATTGATATTGCTTCCTTTTAGGCGGCATCTGGGTGCATTTATGTTTTTAAATGCGATGTCTGCTGCAATTTGGAGGAACCAAGTATAACTTAAGAGTTTGAAGGTACCTGAATTTATGCAACGAGAGAAAGTCACAGGCGGTTCAAAAAGAAAAAAAGATCTTAAACACCCTTTCCCCTCGTGGTTGAAAATTTTATAGTATCTAGTAGACAAGTACATGGCTTTCGGGTACCGAATAACATATTTTTCCACATGGATAGCTACCAATAATATAACCAAGAGCTGAGTTACACATTTACTATGAAACAAAAACATAGAACTTTTCAAGCTTTCATACACATACATAAACAACAGCAAAGAACCAAACTTAGCATTAAACCAACAAATAAGACTGGTTGGTTTCCGGGAAAAGGGGCAAGGAACAACAATTAAACCCATCCCCAAAGAAAACTCTCCATGGAAATAAAGAGGGCAAGCACAGAAGTTGCTTAAGAAGCAAAACCCATGTCCAAAATTCTTCCTTCCCGTCATTTCTTTTGAGAAACTAAGTAAAGCCTTAACCTTTCCCAGTAAATAGTCAGGAAAACAACAGTCTCATCACAAATGGAGCCTGTAGATAAGGTAATGTCCAATCTTCAGCCCCAACAAGGCACAAAAATCAAAGCTCTCTTTTACGTTCTTTTCCAACATTTTCTCGGAAACCAAACGGATCTACTTTCTTGGTAAAAGAATCAAAGCCAAAACAAAGTAATGCAAAGTAAATAAAACAAAATGCTGGGTCTATTTTCTCACCCACAAAGCAGCATGAACTTTGAAGCAAAAGTTGAAAAAAGCTAAGATTTTGTTGCCAAATATTAAAAGAGCTTAGCTCATGATATTGGCTCAACTCAGAATCGATTGAGGCTTTGAGAAAGTGAAGAGGTGGCGTGGAACT